ATTGTATGCTTCAAAGGAAACATGAGACGTGTTTTACACACTTTAAATGTCCTTTTAATTTAGAACGGCCAAAAAAGTTAATGTGAATGGCTGTTAGCTTTGCGCTGACATAGCACTAAAATCCCATAAGGGTGCTAGCAGAAATGAGTAGTGTAGAAGTGTGTATTTTTCTCACTTGTGGCCGAGTTTTGAAATTTGTGACCTGAACTGAAGGCCTAGATCTAAAAGTCATGGCTCACCACTGTTAGAAACTGACCACTGAAGAAGGCTAGAGGATGGCTAACAAACTCTACATCAACAGATGGAGCTTTGGTCTCTAACTGTACACCAGCAAGATGGAGCTACATGCTAGGGGTGTTTCTAATAAAGTGACCATGTGATATAATGCAATAGCATTAGAAGAAAAGGCCACTCGTTTTATAGCATCGATTTCTTTGTTATGAGTGTATTCAGATCACAGTGACCACTCCAGTTGACTGACAGGGTGATTTTAGTATGGTAATGCTTTTTTTCAAAGAGAAAAGGAGTGTCACCGAGGTTGGAAAAGGTTAATAAATATGTCCAGGCAGGGATGAAAAATTAATCTAGTGATGTTTTTCTGTAATGGCCACTTGAGAGCATCCCCGAGCTGAACCTGGGATGTTTGAGGAAATCCCTCGTTCCACAGCAGCCAGGTAATAAATCTGGGTTCCCCCAGGGCCTGGGTCGGTCACAGGTGAGCAGGGGGTTAAGAATAGGGTCAGGGACCCAAGCCCAGGCCTGCCTGCAGTTCCCTATGGACACCTAACCACACAGACAACAGCCAAATCAGATTACTAGACAGACATTGGTGACAATTCTAAATCCAACTAACTTATCTGAAGAGAATTGAGGGGCAGATACATGTATAAAATGATTCTAATATGATTTCTAATATGACGATAATATTCTGTAGGTTTCAAACAATTTGCAGGAAGCTGTTTAAAAAAATCCATATGAATATTTTCATAATAATTGAGAAAGCTGCATAGCATCGAGAAATAATTTATAATATTATTATAAATTATTATTATTTTTTAAAGGGGTATATATACACATAAAACTGTATAACTGTACAGGGATTTATGTGAGTGCTAGACTTTCTCTATCAGCTGAAGGTTTGAAAGCTCTGTGATGATGAACATTTAATGCTCATTGATTTTGGATCCCTACACAAATCACAGATCACACACAGCACAGGCAAAGTCATGTTTCAGCCCTCATCCCTTCAGGACAAACTCATGTAAACCAGGCATAAATACGCTAATTGCTCGTGTTAACAGTAGCTGGCATGCTTTACTCTGCACCTGGCAATTTCAGCAACCTCTGTGTGGTTAAAATAAACAGTCTTCTACTGTGTGAATTCCACTGTGTTTGTGCTGGGGTTAAAATCAACACTGCAGCTACAGTGTGGTGGGTTCTGCATGAGCTGAACGACGGCAGTTGTGTAAATGGAGGCCCTTTGTTGTGTCCTGCGTGGTGCACAGTGTGGTGCTAGTGATGATGACGTTAGTTCTAATGCACTAAGCCTGTAGTCGCATTATCCTCCGAATTAGAAAAGATGCTCACGTCTGTCTGCGATTAGAGAGGAGGAAAGGATGGACGTGTTTAACGGGATAAGACCAGAGTTTTACTGAATTAAAGCGACAGATCAGTCAAAATTTTAACTTTTAATCAGTCCCCCAAACCCCCCCTGGTTCTATATAGCACCAAAAACAGCAGAAGAACTCTGCTATATAGTTCTATATAGAACCATATACTATACGTTACCCATCAATCTGAAGCACCATTTTACCATGCAAAGAAACATTTAAGCGTGAAGTGGTTCTACATAGAATTCATAGAAGAATCATTGCCTTCACTAAAGAACCCTTTCATGCTTAAATGGTTCTTTGCATAGTGAAATGGTTCTTTAGACTGACGAAGATTGATAGTTGTTTAGATTGATGGAAGACTGATGCCGAATGTGTTGGAGATGGTTCTTTATAGAACCTTTTTGAAAATGGTTCTATAAAGTGCCAAAAAGTTTTTTTGTGACAGTAGAAGAACTTTTTGGGGCTATATAGAACAATTTTCAAAAATGTTCTATATAGAACCATTTACAACACATACTCCATCAATCTGAAGCATCGTTTACCATGCAAATAACCATTTAAACAAGAAGTGGTTCTATATATAATTCATGGTTCTAAAAAAGAGCCATTGCTTTCACTAAAGAACCTATTCATGCTTAAATGGTTCATTGCATAGTGAAATGGCTCTTTAGATTGACGAAGATTTAGATTGATGGAAGAGGATGTGTTGTAGATGGTTCTATATAGCACCAAAAAGCGTTCTTCTATTGTTATGATGTCAAGCTTGTAACAACAGAACCTTTGTTTGTTGCTATATAGAACCGTTTCTATACAACACATTCTCTATCAATCTGAAGCACCATTTCACCATGCAAAGAACTATTTAAGCAAAAAAAATGGTTCTATATAGAACTCATGGTTCTAAAAAGAACCACTGCCTTCACTAAAGAGCCCTTAAAAAAGCATCTTCTTAAGTGTGTAGTTGTTAAGCAATCTTAAATAGACTTGTTTATGTTGTTTCTGGCACATTTTATCTATAAAATTGACAACATTGACATTTTTGTATAAATTAAAAAAAAAAATACACTTTTGATTTTTCACTCAAAATGTCTTTTAAGAAAGGAGAACAGGAGTCAAAATATGTCTATTACATTATATAACTAGAGTCAAAACATGACAAGACATATTAAAGGGAAAATAACATGCAGTGAATCATTTATCTCAGAGTAATGATATATAATTTTATCTATAATTATCAACATCTGCCATGCAAATAAGAAAGTTTATCTTATGTTGCCAGTTCACCTAGTTTCGCTAGTTTCTATTGCCATCTAGTGTATGTTTTGTGCATGATTCAGGTCTTTTAAAGGACTTCCTCATACACTTCCTTGGCTGAGATGTTTCCTCAAACATTTCAGACGCTCCCTCACTTCAGATGTTCAGTGTAAAACATATGGGTGGTGATGTCAATAATAATTTGTATTTGTGTTATATCTCCAGTACTGTGCAAAAGTTGTTCATTTCCAGTTAAACAGCTGTTATGTAGTTTATCAAGTAATTCATTTAGATATAAGATAATTCACTTGCACAATGCAAATAAATGAAAAAACAGGAGTTTAAGAAATGATTAAAAGATCCGGAAAAAATGAGACTCTTAACCTTTTCAACTCCTTGAGACCACCGGTGGTTCCAGAACACACTTCGTCATATTCTTCATAACCTCCATCTTTCATAAGCTACATTAAAAAGGTCGGTGTCATATGAGAGCTGTAACTGTCTTTTTTCCACTCAAATAGACGGGTAATGTAATTTTAAACCCTTATAATAAAAGAAGCTGAGCTCACATTTTTTTTGTCTACTGAAAGTTGACTAATTTTTCCACAAATCTGGGCTATAAACTATAAACAGATGGCGTCTCTTCAGTGATCTGCTCTGTAAAAACTATTTTTATAAAATAATACAAAGAGCGTCTAAGATTTGCAGCTTTCAGCAGTAAATTGTAAGCATATAGCAATATGTGTATGATCATGAAATACGTTCTGTTAATTTGAGGGGAGCTTTATGTACATTTATTTCATGCAGTTACTGAATAATTTGCCTTACGATTTGGTCATGTAAATTCAGATGGAAAAACCAAAATATACCCTGGAGAATAAGAGGTTAATATCGGTGTAAGACCTGGTAGACAACCAAAAAGCTTTCATATTTAAGATGAAAAAGCAGGAAATGCAACCAATTTGTACTTTGCAACTGTAGAAGTTTGGAGAAATATCCTTGCAGATTTCTTTGAAAGAGTGAAAGTGAGTCTCCTGAAAAAGAGTGGAACCTGTAATTCTAAAATTCAGGAAAAATACATACAACAATCAGAACAAATCAATATTATTTTTTAGAAACAGTTTAATGTGAAAATTCTCGTTACATTAATAAAATAATGAAGATTTTTTGTTTTTTTTCATTAAATACTGCAGCAGTATTGTACTTACAGTAAATGGCTTGGTGCCGGGTCTTTGCACTCTATGAAAAATCCAAGCAAGTTATGAAAGCTATTAATATTAACTTAAGCTCATCAGACTTGGCAACACTGCAAAGTAGTGCAAGTATTTCTGTACTGAGAATGTAGTCTACTACTATCTAGGTTATTCACAAGTAGATATACAAGAGCTTCACATTAGTAAATCATGAAATGATACAAATTTAGGTAGATTGTACAGATTTACGTTAGAAAAAGGAAAACAGCTCTTGGAAATGAATAATTGTTTAACCTTTGCTGGCTCTTCTCAGTTTGGCAACCACAAATTGGCAAAAACATATGAATATATATATATATATATATATATATATATATATATATATATACACACACACACACACACACACACATATATATATATATATATATATATATATATAAAATCACACACACGTCTTGTTACAAATGTGCTACAAAATACTACTATGACAACTTTTAGCTTTGTATTCAATTAAAACAGAAGTATTACATGTCTAACGCTTAAATAACATCCCTTCTGAGGTTTATGATGACAGATTTCTGATGATCTTTGATAACAGAACTTAGTGGGCAGACTGTCTGAGACATATAGCATGTGAAAAGTGTTAAGGGTGCAAAGTGGATAGCACATAGGCCCTCAAAAATAGGAAGCACAACTAGGTCTTATGGTGCAACGTGCACTGTAGCAATTCGCTAAAGTAGGGCTGTTTAACCGGGGCCTGCTTGCTTTGGCTCATGGACAGTTTCTGTCGGGGAACCATCTGCTTTGACGTTGAGATTAAATAAAATATCACACACTCGCTGCCCAATGAATTTCCTGTTATTCTGAGTGCAGTTGTTCAACATAGATTACACAGCAACCCAACGAAATGTTAGAAATGACTCTCACAAGTTTGGAATCACTTGCCATGTTATTTAATTCAATTATAAGTAACACATTATTTAAACCCTTACACAAAAACAACCTATTGAAATAATATAGGCACCAAAAGGCATTCAGAGCTGTTTAATCTCAAAGAATAAGTTGTCAATTGATAAATAATACTGTGATAATGTCTATATAGTCATTTGTTGTTTTTGCTTGCATTGAGATTTAATTACTATTTTTTCAAATAGGCATCCCACAAACTTTATTATACTTCTCGATGTTCTACAGCTTCTCTCAGTCATTTCACAATCATCTACAGCTTCATTCGTCATTCTGGACTAGGCCTGCCACAAATATGAAATTTCAGCTGCTGATTAACTCCCATCATCATTTTTTGTTCATTGTTTGCAGCTACTAAAGTACTGAAGGCCTGAAGAGACCAAATTGCCTGATTAGCTGTCTTACTGCCCAGTTGTCAATACATGCCACCCATTTCCACACCTGTTTTAACATGCCCTCATACACCCTCAGCCTCACCATTTTCCCTGAGGCCATCTTAGAGGCTGTTGTATCACTGTATTAGCTCAGATGAAGCTTTTAAAGAGGGTACGAGTGAAGACAAGTGTCAGGAGAGGCCAAGAAAGCATTGTGACCTGACTCATTTCCTTTTCAACTGCAAAAATAATGTCAGACAGAGCTGTTTACGAGCCAGGGCACTACAAAATACTTATTTTTTAAATAAACTATGTTAAGAGGGTTTTATCTGTTGTCTGCTGATACATCTCTGCTAGCCTGCTAGTTAGCATGCGGCAGCCATCACAGCTAGCAACAACAAAAAAGGCAGGCAATACACCACACGTTTTAGCACAGCGCTTACAGCCAGACAACAATAATACTCATAATGTATGTACATTGTGTTAAAACTTCTCAAAAAAAAGGAATAAAATTTGCGTCAAGTCTGCATGCCTAGCTATATAACGCACTGAGGCTAACCTAGCCGAGTGTCTTCTCTCTTTACCGTCCCTTCCTCTCTTTGCACTGAGAGTGTACTTTCTTTTATTTACATGCCTTTGTCTCAGCTGAACCGATGAAGAAATACCCGATTCACGTTCTGTTGTGATGTAAACGATTGATTGTAAAAGCTAACTGGGATGAGCTCAAATAGTTGCGGTCAGGCAAGTACAATAGTTGTGACAGGCCTATTCAGAGCACATCTGTACTAATCATTTTGAACCTATTAACATTATATTAGAGTTATTTTATACATTTCTCTAAGCAAATCGGTTTTATATTATCAAAAAAACAATGATTCCAAACCTCTGAATAGTAACATACTGCACAATCTATTGTATTACGGATCATAATCACGATGGCTTTTGCAATACTGATAATACCACAGTGCTTTTGAGCACCTTATCCAATCACAGCTCCAGGTAAGATTTTCAGTTAAATGCATTCAACTGCACCAACAAACATTTGGCCAAAAACAACAGAGCCTGATCTTTGAATATGTTTCAAGGATTCGTAAGTGTGCCTTTAACATACTTCACGGTATGTTGTGAAATGTCTTCTCTAACGCACTAAATACACTAACCACACTAAAGGCAAAGCATTCTACTGTTCAGGCTCTGCTGCCATTTTGCTCAATAATGTGTCTTTTGAAATGTCATCTTTCAGCATATTTGCCATCAAAACAACTGGGAGATCATTTTGTGTGTCTTAAATAGGAAATAAAGTACTTTTTGAGAAGAGCCTTCTGCAATATTTTGCATTTGTAAATCACACTGTTATTTTTTGTACGACTGGTCAAATACCAATAATATTCAAATACAAAAGATCCTCAGAAGTAACTAAAAAGCAGGTTTCAGACACAGAAGAAATAGTGCCCGTGTCCTATTCGACAGCGTTAGCCACCGTGTCTCTCAATACTTAAGTGCTACAGGCAGCTCCGTCCGCTGCTCATCCATCCTCCCTCCCTGGACCTTCAGCAACAGAGAAAAGAAATCTTCATCATCCATAGGGCCCGGGGGCTTGCTACGCTGCTCCTCCAAACGGCCCTGAGCCTGTGGTTGTGTACAGAGAGAACGAGCAGATCAACACAGAGAGAAAAAAATACAGGAATGAGTAGATATTGTTAGCATTCTTAGATGTTCTCTACAGTCAGTAGTCATTGGAATAGTTTGGCTATAAGTGTCACGCTTTTCCTAAATGTAGTTGATCGGCTGTGTCATATCTGGTATTTGAAGTTTGCTAATGTAACTAACAAGTTATAAAAGCTTATGCACTACAGTGTAGCCTGGTGCAACCTGCATGCCTAAATCATCACTCGCCTCAGGCTGTACGTATTCTCCAATAGACTTGTTTGACGGGTTTCTGACACTGTTTGACCTACATTCATATGCAAAAGTTTGAGCACCCGTGGTCAAATGACATGTTTTGTTCAATTTCTAAGTGAAAAGAAGTTAACACACCCTCTACAGGAAACAAACTTAAATCGAGCATTGTCTGCTCATTTTAGCACACAATTTCTGTTTATCTGAGTTTAATATATCAGGAAAAAAATGTAATGAAATAAATAAAATAAAATATATAAAATGTGCCATAACTTTTTCCAATATATTAAATTCAGCAAATAATTGTACATTAAAATGTGCAGAAAGGTGTTCTCTGTAGAGGATTTGCTTATTTTCACTTAGAAAATCAACAAAACGTCATTTGACCAAGGGAACACAAACTTTTTCACACAACTGTAGATATCTATAAAAAAATGAATTTTGTCCATACTTTTATTCCTTTTTAGCATTAACTGATGGTTGACTAACTTACTAATTTTGCACAATGCTGATTGGTGGTTCTAAGCTCACATTACTTGCTAGCTAGCTCCACCACAAAAATAGCAAAGCAAATAGCAGGACGGCTAAAATGGAAACATGTGGAAATGAGATTTCCCTAAATATTTGCTTTTAAATACTAGTTTAAATCCAGTTTAGCTAAAAAAAAATTACAGAAGCAGCCATCTTAAAGCCTGAATATTGTCCAAACTTTCACCCATCATCTTTGAGGCTAGCATGCAGTTTACACAATGCTAACTAGCAAGTTTCTTTACTTGTTAGCTACATTAGCTTGATGGGTTTAGCACAAAACTGTCAGAGTACATAGCTGGACAGTTAACATCTTGGCTGAGTCATTTCATTTAAGATAAGAGAAAACCCTGTGTATATTTTGCTAAATCATCACTAAAACATTAATAGCAGTGGTTTCTACTTTCAATTGTCTCAGAAACTGCAAAATAAAACTGTCAACTGCACTTGAATTAGGAGACGTACTTGGGAGGTGAGGATCATGTTGTACAGCTCCTCCTTGGGTGGTGGTTTGGGAACAGTCCGGCTGGCCTCCAGGGCCTTGCAACTGCCTTTCCTAGGCTTGACTTTGGTCTGGGCAGCGGTGGTGGTGGCGATGGAGGTGCTGGGGGTGGGGGAGCTGGAGGAGTGTTGAGGCTCCGGGGACGAGGGGACTGGGGAAAGGCTCTGGAATTCTGCGCGCTGGTCGTCCAGCCGACGAGCTTGGGAAGTGGCCAGAAAGTCAAAGAACTCCTCCTTCTGCAGCGAGGTCATGGACGAGAACACCACTGTTTAGGGTCAGATGAGAAAACAAGCGTGACTGACAAAAACACATTAACCCTTAAAGATCCCAGTAATAACAGTAGCACACTGAAATCCTATACTGATTATTTCTCACTCGTAGCTCACTGAAACAAGCGGATAATTTATGCAAAAAGTGTGGATTCTAAACTTTGAATCTATACTACATTAAAGGAAAAGGCTGAATCCTTTACATTTCTTCACATCAAGTTGGAAATGCAGACTCAGTGGCTTCAAAAAAGAATTTGTGCAACACTTTAACCTTATCTAGATCACCGTATGGTTACCAGCACACTTCTGTCCAAGCGTTCACTTCTGTTTTAATACATCATTTTTATGCACCAAATTATAAGGCAATATCATGAGGCAATATACCGTCAGAAAGCTTGAAGTCTCCGGATTTTATGATCCATTATTTACAGCAGCAACGATCATCTCATTTGCAACATATGCACCGAATTAGCAAACGCTAGCAAATCTGTGATTCCTTACCTACAAAGTTGTGCCACTGTCCACAGAGACATCATAATCCAAAACATGTGGTCTTGGTAACATGGCAAGAGCCAGAGATCAGTTAAAAGATCTATGAGTGAGGCGGAAATAACCTACTAGCCTCTGTTAGTCTTCGTCAGTTTTTTAAACAATTACTCCAAAAAAACTTGCGAGGGTTACTTTTAAATGAGGTCTACATCAAGACTGTAGCCCATAGTGTGCAGGAACATCGCTCCTTTTACTTTGGGTATGACTTTTCAGGAAAAAATGGGAAGAAAGTTATAAAATTGTAACCTCTGCAAATCCGTGGGCCAGAGAACGCCTGTGTTTTTATTTGATTGTTCAATAACATTTTGCTATTACCTGAGCTAGGCATTGTTTATTCAAAATACGCCAAACCACCAACATCAAAATAAGGGCAGTAAACCTTAAATACATTACATAATAATTACTTGAAATATTCAGTAATTAATAAATAAATAAATAAATAAATTAATTAATTAATAGGCTACAGTACACAGCTTAATGCACATCAAAATAGGCTACATTACATTATATTACGCACAGTGTATGCTGGGGATTGTAGTGCAGCGAGTTGTGAAACGGGCTAGTAATAATAGAAAATGAAAAAACGATTCACAGGCCAGATAGGATTATGCTACGGGCCTGATCTGGCCCCAGGGCTTTGTGTTTGACACATGGGTTTTAAACAGACTAACCCAAGACTGAAATTTTCATTTTGTCAAAGTATTCTTTCAAAAGGTGGCTGATAAATTTCAGACCATTCTACAGGTCTGCATCCAAAATGTCTTTCTGAGTGCATAATGAATGAACACAAGCTGGCTGACACATTGTAAGAAAAACTAATCAGACTAAAACAGACTAATCCCAAATGCAGTAGACTGGCTAAGACACCTTTGGCTGAGGTTTGCTTCTTTATTTTTGCGCTAGAGCTACATGGCTAATGCAGCTAACAAGTAATACAGGCCACTAGTTTAACATCATGTAGACTGCATGCCTGAATGCTTCAAACCACGTCGAGGTGTAACGTCTCACAGACTCACTTATGTGGTTTCTGATACTGTATGACATACTGTACAGACAAAACTTAGGCTCCAAAATGGCTGTCACTAAAGCTTTTAGCTAAGTGATTTACTATTTCCCATTTTTATAGATAACAGTATGTCATACCGTGTCAGAAACCACACAGGGAAGTCTATTAGAGAATGCTTAACTTCTTTTAAACTTCACCACCCTTGACTGGTTCTATTTTAACCCACTCTTCCAGCTACTCCAACAAGCTGCGATGTTAAAGGATAATGAACAAGTAGAACAGTTGGATTTTCACCTCTCTGGCTGTGGCGGGGGGTGCTGGGTTCAGAGTAACACCTCCTCCGTCCCTCTAGTCTGAAGGAGCAGCGCTGGTCATTCAGCCGCCGGCCCTCCTGCAGGGTGCACAGCAGCTCGTACAGAGTGTCCGGAAAATCTGGGGACAACCTGTGGAACTGGAGACAGCATGCAAAGGTCATTTCATCACTTTCACTCAGTTAAGCCATGAGCCAATTCCTCTGATATACCTGCTGTGTCGAAGGTGTGATTTATTCCACATGCTGTTTCTTAAAGTCTTAATACAAGATTTTTTTACAGAAATGGCACCTAATCACTATTTCCTATGTTAGAGCACTACGTAGAACACTATTATAATAGATAAATAGAATAGATAACTGATATGGCCCATAACTAGTATATGGGCCATATATTGGAACACAATATAGAACACCATCATAGAGAACAGGTTGTTCACTATTGCCTATATTGGAGCACTAAATAGAACAATATTATAGGAAACACTCATTTTGTGCCCACTACACTCATTTTCTTTAGTAAAGAAAATGGTTCTAAACAGAACCATGAACTCCCAAAAAACCCTTTGCATGATTAAAGGGTTCTTTGCCTTATGAAAGGGTTCTTAAGATTAATGGAAAATGTGCATGAATGGTAGCTGTAGATGGTAGATAGAACCTTTTTAAAAGGGTTCTTCTACTGTTACAAGCTTGACACTGTAACAATAGAATGGTTCTGGGTGCTATATAGAACCATCAACAGCACGTTCTCAATCAATCTGAATAACCCTTTCATGATGATTAGAACCCTTTAATTAGGACGCAGTAATGTAGACATTACCTTTTGCTGAGCGTCTTCAGGCCTAAGGCGGTCTTTGGGTCGTAGTTTAGCTGATGACTGGACATCAGGAGGCACATGCAGCTTATCTTTAGCCACTACGTCCGTCTCCAGAAGAGGTCCTTCCATCTCTTTCCCTGCTACCTTCTCTGTTCTTGCCAATCCAGCTCCAGTTTCGACTGTGCTCACCTCAGAATCCTCCTGCCTTCCTTCTGACAAGTTCTCCTTAGTTCCTGTCACTTGTTCAGGCCCTCCACCCTCGTTTTCCAACACCTCTTCTTGTTGACCTTCTAGCTTCTCCACCTTCCTCTCATTTACGTCTACATCCACCTCCTCACTCTTACATTCTTCCACTTTAGCATTAGTATCCACACTTTTCTCCACACACCCTTTAATTCCACTGCTGTCTTCTCCTACGTCTTCATCTGTCTTCTTCATCCTCAGCACGCCTTTCTCCCTGGCCGTGTTGTTTGTGAACTCCTCTGGCTCGTCCCCCTCTTCGAGAATGAGAAGGGGCTCCAGCTGCTCCTCCGCTGGGCTTTCACCTCTGACCTCCGCGCAGTCCATGTCAGCGTCCGCTGAATTGTCCCTCAGTCATCCAGCAGATATGGGAACCTCAAGTAAATCAGAGTTTGGGGAATTCTTATTTTGAGATTTTTGAAATACAAGGCAAGTGGGAGCGGAGATGTTTTATTTTTTTTTAGTCTATGTTTTGAATGTATTAAATAGCATAAATATTTATACAGTACATAGCCAAGCTGCTCAATAATTACATAATTCCAAAGTCCCAGAGGTTTTATATTTCATGTTTGGTTTACTCCATATGACAGTTTGAATCATGTTATGTCAGACATGTTGAAGGGGCATTCCGGCCTAAAATTGGATTTTAATGTTACTTGTCACGTTATGTAGTATTCGGTAGTACAGGATTCCTTCAGCCTCGTTGTTTTGACAGAATTCACAACTTTAAATTGTTCTTCAGGATTTTTGCACTACAATACCCAGCATGCATTATGCAAATACATCATACAACCACTGTGGTGTCAACCAATTCTGACTGCTCGTCTAGCCGCTGATCTATACGCTAATAAATACAACTAAGCTAGCATTAGTATAACTCTTACCTTGGCTGTCGTAAAAGAACAGCGATTCTATCTTTATTCAGTTTTTAGCCTTTTAGTCAGAGAAAGTTTGACAAACTGAGGTAAAGTATCTAGATAGCTAACTTTCTAGATAAGTAGCTGTTAGCTTGACTCATTCGATGAGTCATTTCTGTCATTTGACTAATCCACTCTTTGACCATTTAAAAATAGTGACTACAAATGGCTACAATAAGCTAATAGGGTTCATGGCAGTAATGTGCCTTCCTTCTTTCTTCAACAGCTAACAACAAAAAATAATTCAAAACCTCCAAAAATTTACCTTAAAGCAGTTGTAGTTTTTCAAAAGTTCCTCCCACCTTCAAGATACATCATCAGAAGGGGGCTTTTCTAGCCTTCAAACTGAAAACTGTCTCATTCTAGAGACTAGTATGGCACCGCTGTAAATGCGACTAAGCAAGTTTACGACAGATCTAGGAATGGTTACATTTTTTCAATTTAACCAGAATACCCCTTTAAGGTGAGAGCAACAACAAAAAATATGATCATTGCACAACACTGCCATAATGCTTGCACAATCACACTACGGAAAAATGCTGTTTAAACTTAATACAGGTGAAATAAGTAAGTCTATGGTATTTCTGTTAATGTTCTGAATATCACCCATCTAAAAAGTTGAGCGCACTTTTTAGGGCCTCTTACCTTATTCCACACCTACAGAAGTTGAAATGAGGTCCTCTAAATTGTAGTTGGTGTATGTAGCCCTCATGGGCTTCACCTCCTTGAACAAACACAAAACAGCTGCTTCATATCCAGCTCAAACCTGCCAATTTTTTTTTCCTTTGAAAAGGAATTAATTAGAGAGTTGAAAGCTGACACGGTGCCTGTGTGAAGCCGTTCTGTTTCACACTCTGACTGCTGAGTTTCTTCCTGTTCCTTTCTCAACCCCTGACCCACCCCTATCGACATGGCCCGTATTTTTTAAAAACTCATGGAATCATTTCTTCTGTGGGAAAAAAAGCAGATTATTTTTTAACAGGAATTAAAGGGACTCCTGCTTTTGACTTGACACAAGGCTGTTTGAGAGGACCCGGTCAAATATATGCACAAATTCATTCTTGAATTTTGCTCATACTTGACAGCCCACTTGCTAGAAACGGCGGCATGTTGAAACTAGCTGCCTGTTTGTTTGACACAGGCAACAGAACCTGTGGTTTTGCAGACTTCCTGTTGTCTGCCAGCAAAAAAGAGAACCACGCTGTAAGACAGAGGCGAGCTGTGCTAAGATGGGGCTGAATGTAACAACAAAAAACAGAAATACATGGCATGAGAAAACTAAAACTTAAATGACGAGGGGAACATTTTTAGAAGAGGAATTCCACCATTTTTTCAAAATAATCTGCGTACTTCAATTGTTTAGGCGCACACACAGACATTTGCACCGTTTTAAAATGAAATGGTTAATTGCAAATAAATTTACTGACTTGGATTTCTTTCTACATGTCTACAACACAAGAAAATAAATACATACATTTTATTTACTATCCAAAATAATCATTAAACCTACACATCTTCTGAGGTTTTATATGTAATGTTGTTAATGAGTGGTAAATCTGGAAAAAATCATTTTCTTTGGGGACTATTTTGCCTTAAAACACCCTGCATGTACCTCTCTGACATGAATGGACTTTAAAAATCATGTTAAGCCAAAAACTTATCATAAAGCTATTACAAAACAGTGTCTCAGACATTAGTAATTGAGTATTCCTAACTATTTTGTGTATTACCATTTTTGAGTTAGCTATAGGAGTTAAACTCATTAGACGTCTGGTTCCTATCGCCACCGTGAACTACTCTGACTTTGTTTACATCTTAACCATTATATTAAAAACGTCTTCAACTTCAAATACTTCTAAACCTCATTGTTTTTGCGTCTATGCCTTTTAAGTATGATCTTGTTGACTGGTGTAGCCTATATGATCTGTTGGGCCCAATGACTAAGATGCTATCTCAAATAGCCAGTAAGAACTACTACAGATTATTAGATTGATACTAACGTTTATGATAGGTTTATACTTAAAATAGATGGTTCTTCAAGGGTTCTATAGTAAAGCCAATGGTTCTATTTAGAACCATGAGTTTTATATAGAACTATTTCATGTTTCAATCGTTCTTTGCATGGTGAAACCGTTCTTCAAGTTGATGGAGAATATGTTGTATGTGGTTCTGTAAAGCACCAAAAAGGGTTCTGCTATTGTTACAATGTCAAGCTTGTAACAGTAGAAGAAACTTTTTGGTGCTATATAGAACTATTTTCAAAAAGGTTCTATATAGAACCCATTAAAAATACCCATTGCCTTTAATAAAGAACCCTTTTGTTTTTAAGTGTGAATGGATTAGAGCTAAGGAAACAAGCCCCTGACATATCTTCACTGGAAAACTAGCAAATGGTCACCTCAAAAAGAATGAACCATTTTAGAAGTAGGTGCCTTGTCCTTCTACCTCATGCTGTTGGTGTACCAGGAAAAGCAGGCTTTTGCTGTATAGCTACACAGGACTGTATTACAGGACTTGTCTATATTACAGATTTTGGACACTATAATCGTTTTTCATTGTCCTGCCAGTGGCTTCAATCGCTAGGGGACCCCAGTGTGGCTAGCCACAGGAGGGTGTGCGAGTGTACTGCTGCCACATATCTAGCTGGCTAGTTAGATTAATGTGGCGCTCAGGATGTTGCAGCAGCAGCAGCCTATTACAGGCAACGGGCCCAATCCAAGCCGGGGGCTCGGGTTGAATGCTCACCCAGGAATGCATCCCTTAAACCCGGTCCATCCACAGCATCGCCCCGACGGCGAGTCGGGACTGGAAGGGGCAGAAAACGGCCACGAAAACCGAAGAGACATCGGGGACATTCTGCAACAAATCATGACTATCACTGACCAAAGTTTAGACGAAGCTCAAGCAAAGTGAGTAGAAATTAAAACGCGTTTGGCTCCGTGCCCGAAAAACAAAGTTTGGCGAGAAAGCTGGCGTTAGCCAGCTCTGTTAACGCTACTTCAGCTAGTTGGGCAGCTTTTTGTATGCTTTTAAAACGCTTATGAGTTATTTAAGATACTGGAAAAGCTATTTCACTCTTATTCGAGCTGGTGAAAGCAAATGTACACCCTGTTTCAATGTTCCAGCCTCGTTAAATTAAGCAGCTGTATTGTTTACATGGTTGTTATTGTTGTTAGCTTGTTAGCTAGCTCGTCCACAACCAACTTATTTTTGTAGCTATGTTTAAGAGCGTCAGACCAGTGTTAGATTTAAATGTGTATATTATTTTCAGCAGTAAAGTTTCTTTATTTCTTAACCGACCCTAAATGACAACATTGGATACAAATTTCCAGCAAGGCAGACACTATCTTAGCAACGTAGCTAGCTGTCACGTAGCTGAAGTCAGCTTCGTATTCCAATTTTCCCGTTCCACCTTAAATTGTCCGGCAGTTACATTATGGCACCTGAAGCGCTAGAATGTAACAACTGCACCATTTAAGGTGGAACGGGAAAATTCAAACAAGAAGCTGGCGAATATGCTGCTAACAAGCTATTGCTCTGTTCATCGTCAGCCAAATAAATACCGTATAAACTCAACGAACGTTTTGTTTACGAATGAAATTCACTTCTGCGATGCATATAATGCGATTTTGAGATGAATGAAACTGATTTTAAGCCAGTTTAAACGCGCTGTCCTGCTGGCGGTTGGCTAACGCAGTTTTGTTTCTTGTCCCCGCAGAAAACATGCGTTAAACTGTCATCGGATGAAGCCGGCTTTGTTCAGCGTGCTGTGTGAAATTAAAGAGAAAACCGGTAAGTGAAGTTTATCGCAGTTTTTGGTGTGCCAAGTTTCGGGTCCCAACTTTAAAAGTTGCTGGTTGAATTTGGAGCAGGCCGTCAGCGAGCGGCGCCATGTTGAGCTGCGCGATTCAGAACAAAGCGAGAATTTCTGCTTCACCAGAAAAGAAACAATAAATCCGCTTTTCCTCCTCAAACTACTAAGTTTTACTGATATCTAATGCTTTTTCCACATGTCGGTTTTACCCGCTCGCGTTCACGTTAACGTTACATCGCTTCCTTGCGTAATAAATGAAAGCGGCTGTTTCGCTTTAGTGCAGTAAACTGTGCATTTGATTAACTAGATTAGGAAAAGTTTCGGGGAAAACTTGGTTAAATTTAACTTATTTTCTCTAACACAGCAGTAATCAAGTCATTAAGTCATTAGTACTGTGTTAGAAATTCACTTTGTATGTCATTCCGTGCTCGTTCAGATCACCACAGTGTATGTGTATGCAAATAAGGCGTTTATGGCTTTGATTGAATACGATTATATTTTCCATTCATTCGACATCCTTCACTCCTGTCATTCTTTCGTGACCCAATTATTAATAACATTTTGTGATGTGCTTTAAAAGGTAAAACAAATTATGTCTGTTTTATTATCTTTTTTACCATCCGTAACATGGTACTTTTATTATCTTATATGAGATTTAATTTTTAGTATTTTATTTGTTATTGAACATTGCTGAATTGGTCCAGTTACACATTTGGACTTATTCTGTTTTTACTGTAATTGGAATTGCTTAAACCAGCTTGGATTTTCTTGGTGGGTTTATTGCAGTGACTATGTGAGGCTGATATAAGGACACAGGAAGGCAGACTGTGTTACTGAGGGGCAGTACAGCCGATGCAAATGTCAGATGAACAATTTCTGCAAAAGCACTACTAATTAATGCGTTTTTGTATTTATGGTTGACTTTTATGCTGGCTCATTTTTACTGAACTAAGATAATAACTATGCTATTGGGACTGGATGATATATTGGAAGGGATATTTGTGAACTTGGCTCACTTTTTTGTTCACTGTTGTACATTAAATCATGCAATATGCTGACAGGCATACGTTTTTGACAAAAATCTGTGCAAATAATGCTAATGCCTTTTCTTTGTAGCCATAAATCCTGTGTATTTGGTTGTATGCTGTAGTAGATTTAATCTATTTTGAGTCTGATTTTGTTTCTGTGTAGCATTTATAGTATGTGGTTGCTTAGATTAAATTAAAATAAAATTCCACATGTTGTTCTAAATGTCTACGTAATTAAATTAAGATGCAGACAGTCATTCTGAGTGGTTCGGTGTGAAATGCTCCGTTCTAGAGGAACACAGACAGTCAGAATTGTTCACGGTGGTGGTGAGAGGAACCAGGGGCCGTATTCCTGTCTTTTTGTCTTAAATTAAGATCTGACAGATCAAGATAAGATTTTACACAAACTCGTATTCCAGAAGCAAATCTTATCCTAAGTTTGGAATCTTATCCCACAGCAACTTGTCTTATCTCTAGTTAGGAAATCTTAACTTACTCGATCAGAGTCGACAACTGTCAGTTTCCCAGCAACGATGATACATACGAGCACAGCTGAAGCGTAAACACGTCATCAAAATAATCAAGTTAGTTAGCCAAGCAGCTAACGTTAGCTACCGTTACTGATGTAAAAGGGTGAAGGAAAACTAAAGCTTGATAAACTTGAGAGTTGTAAATATTGTGTCAGCGCTTCATGCTGTTTATCAGCGTCGCTGCTGTCCAGTTTCAGTTTTCCAAACGCTTTAGCCGAGTGCACTTACGTTATTCCTCCTAATAAACAGACACGTTAAGCTTTGTCTCCTCATTATTCATCACCGTCACTGTAATATTGTATCTAACGAGTTTTATCAACATTAACACACTAAGGTAATAAGAGGGGGCGGTGGAGGTCGTGTCTGCAGTGTCTGGGGTTTTAAACCGCTGTTAGGAAAAAAACCCTCCTTTGTCAAAGCACCATTTTCGATGTAGATGCATGTAACATCATTATGGTAGTCATAGTGAACTATGCTGACTATCACTGCATAAAACAATAAAAACAGTTAAAACAGAAATTAAGACATCTCTGGGGTTCTTAAAGTTAGGACAGAAATTTTGTCCAGTTAGGGTGTTTCTGTAATACTGTTTTCTTATCTGGAGTTAATGATAAGATTATGAACTTAAGAACTGTTGTTCTATAATAGCTTCTGTCCTAAATTCAGTCCTAATTGAAGTTGTTGTGGTGACTAAACAGATAAGATTTCAAGTTGAGGAGATACTGTAATGTCTGAACAGGTTAATTCCACTAAAAGCTCACAGAAAAGATCACTTAAAATGATGAATTATTACAGTCACATTGCCTGATGGTTGGGACAATGTTAAATGATAGTTTTGGCCTAATTGGTGTTTTTAAAATTCGTTCATGGTGAAGAGGTAAATGCAGAGCAATGTGACGAAAAATAGTCCTCAATGAAAACTTATTTTTTCAGACTGTGTCATCATCATCAACATTCCAGATAAAAACTTAGACACATGTAGGTTAGGTTCATTGGTGATGATCATGACCCCTGGTTCCTATCACCACCACTGTAAAGAAATCTGTGGAGCGGTGTG